TTTCTTTAATTAAAACTTCTTTAATTGATTTGGTGATCAAAAGTCTTATTTTTTGGTGATCATTTCACTGCTAATAAATTTGGTGATCAAAAGCCACTTTTTTGGTGATCAAAACACATTTATTCCAAAATCGAGTGACATTATTTATGAACAATTCTCAAATGATTTGAGAAATCCAATTAAAAATTACAATCGTTTTCATCTAGATGATCTTAATAAATTAATGCCAAATTTAGATTGGTCATCTATTTTAAAGCGTATGATGATTAATACCTCAACTATATTGATAGGACAACCGGATTATTATCAATTATTAGATCGTCTAATTGTTAATCAACCACTAGATTTATGGAAGAATAAAATTCGATTTTCAATTGTTAATAGTTTTGCTTGTTATTTAAGCAAAGAATTTATCGATGCACAATTCAATTTTTATAAGCGAATTATTGATGGACAAAAACAGCAACAAGAACGATGGAAAATCATTGTGGCCTATATTGATAAAAGTAAACTGAAAAAACTTTTTTTAAAATACTTAAATTTATTAGAAGTACACTTTGCTTGATAAAAGAGAAGATTTTATAACTTCAATTATCTTCAAATATTTGAAAAAATTGATTATTTAGGTATGGGTGACTTGTTGGGTCAGTTATTTGTACAAAAATATTTTCCATCAGCTGCTAAACAACGATTATTAGAAATGATCAATAATTTACAACAAGTTTATTATAAACGTATTGAAAACCTAGATTGGATGAGTGCAAAGACGAGAAAAAAGGCATTAGCCAAATTAATAGCAATTACGAAGAAGATTGGCTACCCTGATAAATGGAAATCGTATGATAATGTGACAACTGATCCACAAAATTATTTCGAAAATCTTCACGGTGTCTTCAAATATAAATATAACGAAATGGTAAATAAACTTAATAGACCGGTTGATCGAACAGAATGGGATGTAACACCATCAACGGTAAATGCATATTATCATCCGGCTTATAATCAAATAGTGTTTCCCGCCGGTATCTTTCAGTTTCCATTTTTTCATTTTAACGCAGATGATGCAATAAATTACGGTGGAATCGGAACAGTAATTGGACATGAAATGACGCATGGATTTGACGATATTGGAAGAATGTATGATAAACAGGGTAACGTAAGACAATGGTGGACAAAAGAAGATGAAGACAAATTTAGATTGAAAATACAAATTGTTGTTGATCAGTACACTTCATATACGGTTTTAGATAACCAACATGTAAATGGTTATTTGACATTAGGTGAAAATATTGCTGATAATGGAGGTTTGATAATTGCGTACGAAGCATTTAAATTAACGAAACAAGGACAAGCAAACAATGTGACAATTGATGATTTTACACCAGATCAAAGATTTTTCTTGTCTTATGCACAAATATGGAAAAGTAAAATGACAGATCGATTACTAAGATCATTGTTAAAGAAAGATACACATGCACCAGAAATGTTTCGTGTTAACGGACCACTATCAAATATGCCTGCATTTTATCAAACATTTAATGTTACATCCAAAGATGATATGTACAGACCAGCAGAGGAACGAATCGTTATCTGGTGAAATTTTATTGATATTTTAACCAATTAAGAAATTTTAACCCACGAAGAGAATATACCGCCACTTTGAAAGTCTTGTACATACTGAAAAGAAAAATTATTGTTAAAAAGGTGCTCACATTTTACACTGTCGAGAACGTAATTTAAATTTTTACTGAAAATTCTAGCGGAATGATTTAAATATATCATCATGGTTGATGCTAATCTTAGAAAAAGTCTTGTAATTTCAATGTAAATAACCATTTTTGTACAATATTTTCATTATTGATTGAATAATCATAGCGATTGTTTTGTGTCATTAATGTGTAACAAAGGTGTCTCTCATAAATCCTCTTCTACATTCTATTTCGAGGATCAATTGTCTCCAAATTATCGAAATGAATAATATAAGAACATTGAAATATATGGTGATCAACACTGAAATTTTTATTTACGTTTTTTTACTGTTCATATTCATTCGTACTATTTATATCTATGTTGTGGCGAAGTTGTAGATTTGATCAAGACATATTTTGATATTGACATATTTGATCAAGGTCATCAAAACAACTGCAAAGTGTTCATATTATATTATGTGCAATAATTATGTTGTTGTCACTGATAGAATGAAGATGATGTTGGTGGATCCTATACAATTACTGTAATGAAGATATGCTTGAATTGTTTGCTCTTATTGTTATTGTTGATGATGTTTTCTCTGCATTTCGAACACCCATTTAATTTTTCTTATGATAAGTGCCGATGATTATATACACATGTTTAATTTGATAAAAGAATGATAATAATAATATGTTGAGAATATTGCGCAGTTGTTTTATGATCTTTCAGTGTAACTCTCTTATGTCTTTATACACAAAGAAAGTAGAAGCAATCACTTTTTTGGAATCAAATAGTATTGAAAAACAAAACTATACGAACTACTTCATTTTTATCCGCCGTAAGAAAGTATATTTGGTCATGTTAACAATGATTTAAGAAAATGAAACATTACTTTTGATAACATATTATGACACTTTGATTAAATGTTTGATACAAGTTACATTTTGATGAGATTAATTTGTCCGAATAGTAACGTTGACACAAATACATCGTTGAAGTAATTTTTTTGACAAAGTTACTATTTTGATGACAAAATTAACGTGAATATATAAAGGGTCATGTACATGTAAGATATTCACAAAAGAAAGTGAAAAGGTAAAAAAAACATATTGTATAAAAAAAGGTTGTTTATATTAACGTCACAATGTCTGATGCTGATTTTGGACAAAGATCGAAAGTCTTGCATTTTTCATATTCTTAAATCAATTAACCAGACGATTGTGTCAAAATTTGGAAAAAATTTTCTATAGTACTATTTTTTTTAATCTACTTCAACGAAAAATTGGGTACCTAATTAAGAATAGGTAGGCTTTATCGTAATCGTTTTATACATCGTTCTCTACACAAGCACTATCGCATCGAAGTTTGGTGAATATTTAATGGATTCTGTTTAGCTTCAGCAAAACAGACATTACTTGATGATGTGAATATCAGCGTTTTTCCCGTCATTTTGCATAGCACTACTTCTGGAATTATTTACAATTTCTACAAGAGTTCCGAGTCGGAATTCTTGTAGAAATTGTATCTCAGTTGAGAAACGTGGTTTTGCTTATAGTTTTTTCGTCTCCAACTGAGATACTTTTTTAATTAGGTCTCTCAGTTGGGAATTGAAAATGTATTTCAGTTGGTACGTAGCCTGGAATACATGTTTAGTACCTAGTCTCTCTCGCTTTATTTTATTAATTATTCAATCATATTCACTACTGTATAGTATAGTAACAACTTTTCTTATTCTTATCATTTGTCTCCTGACGATGATGAGATCACTCATTAGTATCTTGAAATAAAGAAAGTTCAAGAGTAAATTTTTAAAAAAATTGTAACAGTTAAGTGTTATATTCTTTAAAGAGTTGTACATAATACAAGAGATGATGCGTATGGCCAAGCTTGCTGATAACTAATATGTCCCAAAACCAAAAGTTTTACTTTTTAATGTAAAGTTGAAAGCGTGCAACGGCTCGAAAAGCCTGCTTATTATATTCAATATTTGCACCGTATACTCGACATATTATAGTGATTAAAACGTTTGGTTGTAAATTATTAAACTGAACCCAAATATAGGGAGCTTGATAAGGATCTTTACGATCTTCTTTTCCTCTAAAAAAACGAAAAAGTAAGAAAAGATCAAGAAGTAAAACATAACCATACCGTGATACTTTTGAATGTTAGAAGAAAATCAATGATTGAAAAATAGCCTACTCGTATGGAAAGTGGGACAATGAAATAGAACCACATACATCGCTTTTTCCATTCTCACTGTAATACGTCACATTTCCAATAATTTCATTGTCATATATTTGCTAGAGGCAAGAATAATTTAGCACACTACCGTTATTAAGGAGTCGTTGCTATAATAGATTGTTCTTACCTCTCCTACACAGTGCACGGGTAACGGATCAGTCGCACCATCACAGACGGGGGCTTCTTTATTATCTTCTGCAGTTCGACCTGGCTGGGGTTTGAAATCAACAATCTACGAATACATAAAGAGAATACTATGATGTACTATTATTTATTTTGAAATCTTCCACTTTATTCATTTTGACTAAAACACACGGTTTTCCAACGTCATAGCCATAATTTCTACTTAATGTACAATCACCAGTATAGTTCAAATTAAAAGCACTACTACCCCCTTCTGGGTAATCTAAAATAGACGGTATTTTACTGCTCGTGGTTAATGCTTGTTGTTTATAGCCACTTACGAGCATTCAGAAATTCATCTAGATTTTTTGTGTATCGTTTATAATCATATTCTGGTGAAGATGGTGAATTAGATGCTTCAAAACCAATAAGAGTATATAAGTCTCGAACGTTGATAATATCGGGTTGTGGGCGAAAACCAAGTCCTTCACAACGACAAAATATGAGTTCCAACAAATTCCATCAAGCTTGTCTATTACCCGGTGTCACCGGATTCCATCTCGTTTTCATACAACTGTTTTCATTCATATAACGTGGACGATCCCGAGGAAGAGTTGCCATGAACACAGCTAACATTATCATAAAAAAACCGGCAAGAGCAATGAAAAATAAAAAATAAAACATAGATATACGACCTAGAATGAAAAAAAAAATTTCATAAAGTTCTTCGGAAGGCCAACGAAGAAAATTTCCTGAGTCTTATTTCAATTTTTGCTTGAAATATGCTTGGTTATAGATAAATTTTTATGCTGACAATAAATTTGGCATCAGTTCGTCTTCATATGACTTTTCAGAATCTCGGCTCAAATTCACAATTTCTAGAAACACATCATGAACGTTTGTCTAGCAAAGTCTGATAGTTCGAAATAACATTAGAGAAACCTTTATCATAACTATTTTTTGCAAGAACCGTTTTGCTCAAATTTTTGTGTTCTACAGTGCAGAGAATATTATCAATTTTGGTAATAATAAAGTGCTAATGGACAAATAACATATATCAGAAATCATACTCCATCGTTCGCCGTCTCTTCCTAGTACTTCTCGTCTTTTTCGATTCCAAATAAATTTTCCTATGCTACGAATTTTATTACTGAATAACACGTCAATACTACAAAGCCGTTCAGCCAATGTTAGCTTTCCTTCTTTTCTAAGAGTTGCCATATTATTATTATCTTCTTAATCTAAAATTTACAGACAGGAGATGTTCGATGCTCCATCTAAATCTAAAACATCAGTACACACCAGTATCAATGTATGTTTATACACGAATTATAATAATTATAATGCGATCGGTACAACTTAATACTACGGAATGTCATATACCAAAATTTTGCTTGTAATTTATATCATTGTCAAGGTTTATGTGAATATGTATCATTCTTTGTTTGAGTCAATGCGCCAATACAGAAATCAACTGCAAACGAAGACGCTGGATTCATTATTAATTAACCGATAGAATCTCTCCATAGATGGAAGGAAGAACAAAAAGATTTGAATGTAAAAATCAGTCTTTAGCTTGTTTTAGTTCTCTACTAAAGATTTTCTCATGTTTTTTTTAAAGCTTTTAAAATTGTCATTATTGCGAAGAAGTAAAGTTAACATCTTGCGATTGACAAATGCTATAGTTTACGAACCAAATCCGTCGTGAAAGTTTTATTTTTGACATACAACTAAACATGTTCTTATTTATTTAATACCGTTTGCTTGAGAAGGTCAAAGTAGTTTATCTCGCGTGATCTGTAGAGGTTAGAATTGAGTTACGTTTAATTGTATAACATTAGAGTATAAAAAGTGCTTTTTAGACCAATAATGAAAGTGTGGAAAACTAATAGCCACGAGAAGTTATATTATAGCTAAAACATAAAAAAGTCTTGATAAAAAAGTTTGATAAATCTCATTTATACAATCAATACTATCTTAGTTTTATCGTTTTTCTGAAGAAAAAAAAAGTGTTGAAAATTCTACTAAAATGTTTAAGATTGAGACACTTTTATTCACATTCAGTATGTGAACATGTCATACGATCTTTCTCATCTGAAAATCATATTTTGTTTCATACGTAACTTACCTTATTGTTTAGTTTTCGACCATATAAAATGAAAATATACAGTTTTGTCGATTGTAAGCTATCCGAGATTTTGACCGTTGTCACAGAGTCAATTTATGGTCAAGACTCTCTGAGCAACAATCAAAACATAGACGGCTAATGAAATAATATTCGTTTATCTTCGAAAAATTTTAATCAAATGGTTCACTAGTAAAAATGAACTAACTAACTGTTTTAAATAGAAATCGATGGTAGTTCATTCTTGAATAAATGAAGTTCACTTTATGGGCTTGTTTCAAACCATATATATATATACATATTTATACACATATATATAGTAAATGGATGAGGCTAAGACACCTGACGCACCTCGATACACGTATACATACAGACAAAGAGATGTAAAATGATTTAAAGAGAGATACAATGTATTAGTGATACTAAAGAAAAATCAAAAAAAATAATTCTGACATTTAGATATTCGTGTAAAATCGGAAAGCTAAGAAGAAAAAAAAGATATATATATATATTTTTTTTTCAGGAAAGAATAGTTGTATTCTGTTGGTCACAGATGCGGCATCTATTCAATTTTAAAAAAACGTAAAGAAACAAAAAACATTAGATGGATCATCTGATGCGCATATTTATTAAAGAAGAGAAAGCGAGGCATATTTCAATAGAATAAAAAAAAAATTCTATTTGTATAGTCTTTATTAGTTTTCGGATATTATAACCTATATAGTAAATGGAATATCCATAATCAGTTTTCTTAAATAAAAAAAAATACATACATCAAATGGTTTTTCATTGTTTTTTAAATATAATGTTAAAAAATGTTCTTGGAAGAAAGTGAAAAATTGATCTATTGAAGTGTCTAATTGTTGTAGAAAGAAAGATATACTTGAACCATCATCCAAGTCAACGTTGTTGATCTAAGTAGACGATCGAGACCATTCATATTTTCTATGATAGAATAGCATATGAACAGCTAAATGACAAAGTTCTTGAAAACAACTTACTCAACTGTGCTGTACATTTTAAGATATAGGATGCATTTCAAAGTTATTCATCGACTGAAGAATGTCCATCGTGAATGCAGTTTTGATAGGCAATTAAGTACTTATTAATGTATAGAGTAGGTATGCACCAGTTAAAAACTGATGTTAGGACATTCAGGAAAATTGCTATAATTTTGTTATAAAGAGTTACTAAGAGTTGCGAAACGTCTCATTTTGTAAAAAAAAAGATTTGCTCTACAAAACTTACTTGGCAAAAGAAATTTTTAACGTATTTCTAACAAGAATATACAATACATTCTAAAACGCACTAAATCGTTAAACAAACTATTCGAGCATTTTTTAGAAATACGTTAAGAAATTTCTTTTGATAAGTGAAGTTTGTAGAGCAAACTCTTTTCTATAAAATGAGACATTTCGTAACTCTTAGTAATTCTTCATAATCGAATTATAGCAATTTTCCTGAATGTCCCAATACCAGTTTTTAACTGGTGCAGATCTAGTATAGAATTGGGATTTTTTCAACTTTTAAGGTTTTGAAATTTGTTGGTATTACAAAAAATGCTTATGTACGCATGCAAATTGAGTAAAATACGCCCAAATATTGCTAATAATAATTTTTCTTCAATTTACAGTTGAAAACTCAAGTAATTCATTATCCAATAATCTTTTGTTCAAAATTTTTTCAAATTCAAACATTTATCTTTCAAAAAAAATGTTTATTCTCTTGTAATTTTTTTATATTCGTCGTTGATCACGTTCCAAGCGGCTTGCTTCCAATACTGGATGGATTGCAATATTTGATACTCATTTTAGTTTTTGTTAAACCAAAACGATCTTTTTATCGAAGGTGGAGAATCTGTTTATCATAAAACAACATTTACTATTGCACCTATTATTGATGGTTTATTTATTTTCTGTTCTCTTCTATTATTGTTCTTCTTATTGCATTTTGACAACATGATCAGTCAATATATATTTGTTGTTCAATTGAATTCATATTACTAGGGCTTGGCCAGCTAACTGTGCTACCGAAGTGAAATTCCGTTACCGATTTTCTACATTTTCTTTCTCTCATAATTTTCGAACAACGAGGCACCAGGGCTCCGTATGGTCCGGTCCAGGACCAAGTTAGACCGGAGCGTAATCCATTTGATCCGACTTGGTCCCAGTTTTTAAAAATTTTAACGGTTCGAACTTGTCACGGTCCCTAAACTATCGGTCCGAACCGATCCTGGTTGGAAAACGCTTTAGAGATCTTTTTATTTTTTTTGTTTACCGGCTAGATAAGCTTTCCTGAACATTTAATTAAGAAATAGCTTGTTTTCGGGTTTAATAAAAATTGAAATTAAACGGTTTTTTGTTACACAATAGAAATGGATCTTCAAAAAGTAGGAAAAAACTTTTCATGGTCCGAAGTGGTCCGGAAAATTTATGGTCCGGAGCGGTCCTGGCCCCAAATTTTTTATCGAAAATGGTCCGAAGCGGTCCGGGTCCCAAAACGTTATGGTCCGGTAGCAAAAATTGTGACCAGAGCGTACCATACCGAGCTCTGCGATGCACCCACAACTCTAAAAGAACTCAGATTAGAAAGACAAGCGTGTTGAAGACTTTGAGATGTTCACGCACTCTACATGATCTTTCATTCGAAAGCTATGATAAAAATATAATTCCCACAAATTATGTTCGTCTAAACGTTTCGTTCAAAACGTTGATTTGTTGTATTATTTTCCAAATTGATTAAATGAATAAGAGATTGTTTTATTTATCGACTTTGAACAAAACATGGTTCAGCATTTTTCTTTACTTCTTGAGCGCTTTCAATATTTTTTTCTTCTTCATTGAACACTGACTGCTCTATAATCTATTTAGTATTGATTATCTTCATTTTCATTTTCAATTTTCGGTTGTAGTGATCGTGATGCAGATTGTAATAGTTCGATCTCATTTTCTAATTCAGTGTTCTCTCTTTTCGTGCAGTGCGTTTATCATGACGTGAGTTATATTGACTTAAGAAGATTGTTTTGAGTCATGTCTCGTTTTCATTCTTGTTATGGCTATTTGCACTCGATAATTTTCTAATTCAAAACATAGTTATTTCAATGTTAGCTCTTCATATTTTCATATTTACTCTTCGTAAAGAACAATTGTTTCTGTCCTCCTTTTAATTTACTTATTGTTTATTCTTTCATTTCGGCACTGAAAGACTTAAACCACAATCTTACTCAATTTTTTCAACATAGAGGAACATCAAATACGTATGAGGAGCATCAGCTTTATTGTTACGACATTTTGGGGGGGAGCATCTGCTAAAGGAATACCGTTGATGCCATCTAAAGATCGTCGTCAGTGCTCAGGTGTATAAAGCACAAGTGGCAATATCTCAAACTGAGTGAAATCGTTTTTTAACAAAAAAAGTCAGCGAACAGTTCTTTTAAACCAGTGAAACATTCGTTACTCCGCACCAGACTTATCATTTTTTCAACGAAACACGTCACGATATGCTTGCCTTTTCTCGTTTCTGCGCTTTTCGTGCTATATTTTCGTCTCTCACCCTCTTGGTATTCTCATCCTATTCGGGATCAATTTTTTCAATTCAATTACGGAATTCGAATTTACAGGGATGTCTGCCAGGTATTTTGACGGGTAGATTAGTAGTTGTTGAATATCCTAAACTAACTACTGGCAATAGCGATCAGTCGCTTACAGTCTGTCAGATCAATACTTGCAAGATAATTGCGATATTTGTTATGCCCACAAAAGGGTTCGACAAACTTTTGTTAGACCAAAAATCCAAAAAATCTGATGAATAGTGTCATTATGGGAAGGTCCTCCCACTCTAATCGCAAACCCTGGGTCGGATTAACTCGCACAAATCCGACTTGTTCTTGTCAACTTTAAAAAATAAGTTTCTGCTCAGTCAAACGGATAAAACACAAGTTTCTGAAGTTCATGCCTCAGTTTTCAGTAAATAAAGATATGTTTATGTTACAATGGTATTCACCGTTGAACAACGCTTAGGTTATAACTATCCATCGGTATAACCATCTAGCCAAGTTTTCTGATCTGTAAGTATTGTACACTACAATCATATTCATCACGTACATTTTGTACTATTTCGATATTTTCTTCACCTTTCATACTGAAGATGTTTTATGAGGGTGGTTCAATAAAAATTATAACAGAAAGCGAAAAACAGCATTTTATGACAGTTTATTAGAAATTTTCATCTGCATTTTCTCCCTGTGTCTAACTCTGGCTTTACTAAGGTTATATCTTGCCTGCGGCATACATTATGATACCATCATAGCTGAAATGCTCGATAGTCAACATAGCTTTTTATCTTTTAAGTTGATTATAGCAATTGTTTCTCAGCTATTAACGAATCTTAGCACTCGTTCGTTGTCTCAGAATGTACAGTATAGCAGATATTCTTAATCGGATAATCAACAGTTGTGTGATATGATTTAAAATAGAAAAAAGATGATACATCACCGCTGTATTATCCGAAAGAATTTATGAAATATCACCAAAAACAGGAATTGGTTATCACAAAACAAAAACAACATCGCTAGTTTGAGCGTATGAAAGTGTATATTTTGTGTTTGGTCTGCAAAACAAAGTATTCCAGTATCCAAAAGTGCAAAAAACATTCAGTGTAAGCGTATCAAAGTTCTTTCTTTATACGATGCACATATTTCTTTCGAGGATGTCAATCAATACTTTTACGATAATTTTTCAAAGATATTTTGAGAAAGTTTATTACATCACAACTGTTTTATTTTATCAGAAGGGCACCCATAGGTAATTGCCAAAGAGGACGAATAGAATATATTTTTGCTGTGATAGATGTCGACCTTCACAAAACAACGCTTCTATCTCTCTTTACTTAGCAACGCAATATTTGTAAAAGATCGTGAGAAATTTTAGAAATTTTTTATCCTCCAACTGACTGTTATTTTCAGACTTATTTTATTCAAATCTTCTATGTGTTATGTTAAAAAAAAAGAAAAGAAAAGAAAATTGCTATTTGTCGCAGTTCTATTACATCCAAAGATCCATAGAAGCATATTATTTTGACTACGTCTATTTCAAAGTGTGATGAAATGAAAGAAAGAAAAAAAGGAGTTTTTTACGTTAAACAACAAGGTAACAATCAAATAAAGGGACAATATATAGGTCAGTTTAACTTCATGTCAAACGCTTTTTTAAAACATGGACAAAATACTTAGTTCTCTAACTCATGATAATCAAGAATTCGAAAAGCAATGGCCTGATACTTTCCAAAAAATTCAACGAAGTACTCAACAAAATGCCCAGGAAATTAATCAGACTGTGAGTGCATTTGCTGGTTATATACGTGCTGAAAAACAGAGTTCAACAAAAAGTTATGGTAAAGAAGCAATGATCAATGGTTTAACTAAACGCTTGCATGAACAAATGCATGATACTGGAATAAAAATGGATGATATTCTAGAAACTTTATTAGATGTATTTATTAGTGTTCTCAGCGATGATAATACATCGTTGTTGAATCTATTATTTTTAAAAGCAATTTATTCAAATTTTCGATTAGGCGAATATCTATCCGAACATCAGCCACATTCTGCAAAACACGTTAAACGAATAATAACATGTTTGAAAAATAATACATTTAAATTTAATGTCAACAATAATGTCAACAATTATGATGGATGGCGAGATTTTTTGTGTCGTTATTTGTTTTCTCAACTATCAAGTGATAAAAATAAATTAGATGAAAATACAATGCAAGAATCAAGAAATGAATTTCAACAACTTTGTAGGTAAGTATCCTAGTGAGAATGTACTTGAGACTAAGTACTTAGAAAAGTACTTGGGTAAGCAATGTCCAGGGTATATAGAGCTTTTTGCAAGTAAAAAAGGTACTTATCAAGTAATTTAACAAGTATAAGTACTAGATAAGTACTTCATCAAGTATTTGGCAGGCAACCTAGTAAGCACTTGCGAAATATATGGCAGCATCCGAAGTTCTTTCAAGTACTTGGCATGTATTAAATCTAATAGTGTTTGACAAGTGCTTAACCGAGTACTTTAGAAAATTTGCAAGTAGCCAAGTACTTGATCTCAAGTACATTCACTAGGGTATGAACATACACCAAGTCTTTGATAGGTAATGACTGTGACGTCAAAATTACATAACATCATTAGAAAATATCGAAAAACTGTTAGTTTTTTGCTGGTATCTTGTAATCTAAACTGTCGACATAATTATTTTTTTACCTAGCTTTTTTTCCAGCGTTTGCTGATTTTCAATATCTGTTGAAAAACGCTCGAAAGTACCACGAATTTTCACAAACTCGTTCTAACCCACTACTGTCTAAAGACTGGCGGTACTCTTCACCACAGACAGGATGAGAATGAAGTTCGAAAACATTAAATTACATACTGAGAAGATAGAGAGCACGATATCTAGCATGTTTGCATAAATTCCCCTTTTTCAAACTGATCTTAAGCAAAATACGAAGGTTTCGATCTTTTTTCCTCTATAAAGGTGACATTCAGTTCAGACTCTCTAAGTGGTAGAAGATAGAACAGCTCGAGTACTATTAATATCAAAATCCTTTCCATACCTGTCCTGATAAAGCACTAAAAGCTATCACAAAAGAACCTTTTGTATAGTACTCACATAAGTCACCATCGGATAGCAAGTTATTACACTCATTGCTACACATCAAGATAAATAAACGTGAAAATGATGACTTATCACTTTCTTACGAAGTTCTTACAAATCTCTTATAAACTGTGTGTTTTTTGTCCAGACAAAAAACACACAGTTAAATCGAAAAATGAAATAAATGTAGGCCGAATAGACAGACAAGTCGAGATAACATAAATGAAAAACACACCTATCTGAATTACCGAAGTTAATTTCTTATCGTCAGACTGAGCAGTTTGCGCTCTCCTTTCTTGTGAAAGTTTAGGTTCGGTAAAAAGTGATATCAGAGTTTTATAATTCAAACAATAGTGCATAAAGTATGAGAATTCTCGTCATCACTTTCATCTTCTTCATCAGAAACATCTCAGTAGTCTTTGCACATCGGCTAATGAATTTAAATATGAGGAAGCTGATACTTTTAGTGCTTCAGAAAGATGCCGAGCGCAAGGCAAATACCAAATAATTGAAGCAATATGGGCACGACAACTCATTATGCAACTCCCATTTGCATCACGATAGCACCATCCCAGCACTTTATTTTAATTATAATTTATCCAAATACCATATGATGGGGAGTTTTTATGTCATGATTGTATTTGGGTTCTCAGTAAGTCACGCCACTGTTTAGGTACTTTAAAATCAGACAAAGCCATCGTTGGATAAGTGCTCTATTTTGTATGTAAAACTAAAAATAATGTTTTGATGGTAATGATAAGATGAGATATGAAAAAGTAGCATATGATCCGTTTACCAGTAAAATCTTCTTTTCTCCATCAGGACTTAACTTTTTTCAATCTAATAGGTGATACTCATGCTCATCGTGAAAAACTGCATCTAGACCACATAGCTTCAAAGAAATTTTTTCAAAATAAATGTTGGAGGGAACTCTAGACGTTACAAACTTCATGGTAAATTTTCGCGAAACCAAGTGATGAAAAATGCTTCTGATAATCCCTGATACATTTTCAATCGAAAAAAATTGAAAATATTGTGAATAAAAGAACGGTCTTAATATGGCATGTCCTTTTATTTTAGGACCGCACTCGAGAATGCTAAAAGTGAACGGCATGATATATGGTATGATTTGGCTCGCACAATAATTACTTGTTTTCCAACTTTATTTGACAGTTACGATCCATTAACCGCCTCTAAAATTGACTTAACACTTTCTGTACAATTAGCTTCCAATTCCAATGAATTGAAACATCTTTTACGTGATTATGTTAGAATATTTGTAAAATCATACGAGAAAAATCCAGATTTATTCAAAGAAAATTATGATCAAATTTTATCAGCAATTCATGATCTCATACTATCAGATTTCACAATTGAAACTGTAGAATTGGCGAGAATATTTTCTAATTTAGTTATTCATTATTTTTCACCGTCTGATTTTGTTCCTATAGAATCACTTGTAAAAATGTTGAATAATGTTTGTCAAAAAGTAGTAGAAAAAAATCCGGATCAACAATGGAAAGATAATTTATGTTCAGATATAATTAAAAATTTCATTTATAAACTTAAGGATGTCAAATTGAAAAAACTTTCCTTACAATATTTTGATTTAATTATTTCAATTGTTAAGTTACACACTCTTCAAGCACCTGAATGTGGCTATCGTATACTGAGTAAAGAAGAATTTTATCCGTGGAAAGATTTAGTGTCAAATAAAATACCAGAATTAATTCAAGCATGTGTTTCATATGACACGTTTGATGTTAAAAATTTAACATGGAATGTATGTACAGCATTAGATTCGCTTGAAGATATACTATCATTACTTGAAAAAAGAGGTCAAGCACAACCGGTTCTTTTCAAATATAGTCATCCAATCGCATTAACTTATATTCAAAAATGGTCAAGTCAAGAGCCAAATGAATTACCAGATCACGTCTGTAAAATGGGTACACCCTTAATGGATCTAATAGATCCATCACAAATAGATATATCTGTCTTGATAACATCAGTCGATCTTCTAATTAAAAGAGTAGCTGATGACGAATCTGATATAAAAGGACATTTATTTGGATACTATATGGTTAGTCAAAAAAACTTGATTTTTCTTCATTTTATTTCTTATTTTTATGTTTAAGCATTATGTCAAAAATATTGGTGATTATCTATCAAAACAAAAATCGATTCCAACACTATTACATGAAAAGTTATCTCAATTTTGTCGTTTAGCTCTAGATCAGTCACTAATGACAGAGACGGGTTGTATGACATTTCCATATGGTGGTTTAACCAACATTTGGGTTAAGATTCCGTTATTAGTAGAAACAGAAGAGAATGCTAAATTATATGTTGAATGTACCGATGTGATGCGTGAACGAAGTGAAGATACGAAAGATTTATATCTTATGTGGTATTTCTTTTGGTCTTTAATTGCAACAAAATATCTCGACTTGGCTAGTACACGTATTGAACAATTTTTAAACGATTTTATAAACGACAAACAAATGACTATGCAAACAATTCTTAATGTATGTAATCTACAGGCTGGCCTTTTTCTGTAGTGTTAGATCCCATCGTAGATCTTACAAGAAGTTACGAGATTCTAATAGATACCAACAGATCTTAGACATTTATATGCCAGATCCTTTTCACAGATCTAAAAAAACATATTTTTCACCATAGTTAGGAACATGAAATCTTAAAGACCATGTATGATCAATTTCTTTATTACTACGCACTTTAGCTGACATGCGCAATTGAAAAAAGCAAAATAGAGGATATAATATATATATAGTACCCATTGCAGGCGCATCTTTGTGCCACTTGAATACGTTTGTTTCAAAATGAGAACAGTTTTGTTTAAACGCGAATATTTTTTTCTTTGCGTTTGCCGCTAAACATTGTCTTGTTTTCAAGCAAAACGTGAAGACAGGCACGATCTTTAATAAACAGAAACATTTTAGACGCCGGTTATCTAAACATAGTTTTCTAAATTAAATTAAATAGACTGATTAGAGCACTGATATCACAAATATCTACACATATTCCGCGTCAAACTGTACCACTGAGAAACTTACGTTTAAACGTTACTATTTTTCTATTTTCGAACAAATGCAATTTTTATTAGAAAACTAACAGATGCGTTTGTTTCTGAAAAAAATTGTTTGTGATTGTTTATCGTCACAAACATTATAAAAATAACCATGGTTATACAAGTAGCAAAATTTATATTGTATGGATGAATTAGTTTTACTTGTAAGATCTTGTGATATCTTGTCAATTTTTATAGCTAGGCCTCCAACTGTTTTCATAAGTAACAAATTCCGCGCCTATAGAATGTAGATTCACAACAAAGTTTGATTTAATTTGACGTGCGCATTTCAATACGAAGGAAAAAGGAAAAATAGAAATAATCAAATACAAGAAAATAATACCTTGATTTTGTAAGTATACAATGGTGTACACCTATATTTTCATAGTTCGTTTGTACTCAGCAAAAATCTGCAGAATAAAAGTCCGGAAGTCTGATTAACAGTTTTTATCAATTTTGGTTCTTATCGGTTCTGATGGAGTCGAACCTTAAGTGTAACTTGAACCTTACGAAGTTTATGTACAAAGAGAGAAAAAAGATAAGCGAACATCTCTGATGCGCTTCAAATATATAAACAGAATTATCAAGTTTCTCTCAAAATTAGTGGCTACCATTAAGAGGTGTATCTCTGATATGTTTTCGCCTTATAGAATTCACAAGAGGAGCAAAATTGAACAAAAATGTATGTTTATAGTTTTTTCTATACAAAAGAACTTTGCTTAAAGTTTTAATGAGGTATCGCAATGTTTGAGCCTCGCTAGTGTTCAATCCTTTCCAGTACCTACATTTGGAGCTACGTTAGAGTTGTATTCAGCTAAACATAATCTGGTTGCAGCAAGATTTAATTTAGTTTTTATTGAATTGCGGCCAGCTAATGTCAAATAATTGGACAATACAGTATTTCTATCCCCTTACCGCTAGCTAAACGCACAGAAAATCTAGTTATGATGACGGAACTTTGACTATTTTTGCAGCTATATCTCTAGTCTACTGATTTTTTCTTCAAATTTTTCTAAATTTAGTCTTTATATACCAGATGTCCTGATTCATATCATTCACGTGTTAGTACTATAATTAGTGAAATGTTTGTTAACAACGGTCAGTATGTGAGTTCATTTAACTCTATATTAGGCTTGATTACAAGAGAACATCCAGAAATCATTACTGGGGAAAACATTGATCAATTATTTAACGAAATTAAAAAGCGTTCAATAAAAGAAGTTGAAAATTTATATACATCGTTGACTTCCATCGCTAGTACACAACCCGATTTGTTTTCAAAACATCAAGATTATTTGTTAACAATATCAAAAGAGCAAACAAATACCGAAGTGTTTCGTTGCTTAAATGGATATTTATTAGCTCACGCAATTCAAGATGAAAATAAGGCAGATGAAAGTGTCAAAATATTCACTGATTTGTTAGAACAAAAAACAACAACAAATGATATGAGAAAATTAATATTTCATCAGCTACAATTGATCGGTATGCGATATAAAAATATTATAAAACCCTATCGACAATTATTAATAAAATATGAAAAAGAAAATACGTGTCGAATATTAATTGATTTAATTGATGGTAAAAGTCTCGAAGAATACTCGGATACAATAAAAAATGCTACACAAGAAATAGCAGAATATGAAAAGCGAATTAAAAAAACCGAAAAAGATATGATACATGTTAAAAATGTTGTAAAAAAACAGGAATTAAAAGTAAGTAAGAAACCAGAATTTAGGGAAAGATATATTTTAGATCGGTAAACAGCTTTAGGTACAAATGATCACTAAAGAAAGATACTTTTGATCATCAGATTGTGATCATGACTCTGAAGATTATCCATTTCTCAACTAATATACAAAAATATGTACAATATGAAGAAGAACAACAACATATTTACAAATGAAAGCCGTGTTAACTTTCTTTGGATGTCCTTTATCTTTTCGTTTCCCTGATGGTTGCACAGGTGGTCTATCATTAACTAAACGCAGAGTTAAATAATAGAGCTAATCCAGCCGTTGATTTAGTAAGCTATTTACCATTCTCATCAATAGCTTACGTTTAATGATTTTCTGATATGACAACAATCTCATTGATCGGTGATATCACAATTGTGCCAGTAACTGTAGAATAATAGTCGAGTAAACATTCGGTTCGATTAGCTCTTTTGCTTGACTTGCATCCAGTTAGTGATGGACTATCTGTTCAACCATAAGGGAAACAAAATGATGAACGGCATCCACAGAAAGTAAGCACGGTTTTCATTTGTAAATATGTTGTTCTTCTTCATATTGTAAAAATTTTGTATATTGTATGTTAATTGACAAATGAACAATCTTCAGAGTCTTAATCACAATCTGATGGTCAAAAATGCCCTTCTTTGGTGATCGTTTGTATCTAAAACTGTTTGATGATCAAACATGCTTCCTTTTGGAGACTAAAATAATTCATACCCGAATTTATAGTTATTAATCGTACTATGAAAAACAAAGTGTGTAAATGAGTAATCGCCGAATCGGTCAGTGTGTAACGTACACACCCAGAGCTAGAACATACTCTGAGTGTCTAAACATTTTACGTTAGAGCTGTCTGAAAGTCATAGGTCAGTTGTTTGAATCTCAACAGAAACCGATTATTTTTCTTCTCGAGTTTTTTTTGTCATCTGTTTTAGCTCAGAATGACAATAAAACCGTAGTTGACCAAGATTCTCAAATTAGTTTTCTTTTCCTACACTTGTCCGTTAAAAACTCAATCGCTTTCTAGACTTCAAACCTTTTTCTTAACGCACTTCGGTTGCCTGTCTAGAACAAATACACTCGTTTTGATGGTGGGTGAACATCTTGGACATTTACACTCTTTATTGTTTCACAGTGCCAAGATGAAAAATGATGCTTTAAAGCGAAATTACAATATGATCTCCATATCGACTTACATTCTCTCAGATAGTAATTTAGAAAAATTTAGAAGTAGGAACCTATAATATACAGGGATTTTCAGAGAAACAATGGTTGAAGTTTCATCGCTTTATCCATATTCATCTATACTCTTTGTCTTTTTCAATAATAGAATTTTAACAATTCCCATTATTATGCTGGCAAACACGTTCGACGAAGTTTGTCCTTACCCAATCTCGTCATATTGCACGAGATTTCCTCAAGTAATCAAGATAATCTTGATCGAATAGAAAAAAAATTAAGTGAATTATCCTATGATGTATCTAATCTTTTTCGTGATTTGAAAAGAATGAATGAAAATATCGAGCGTATTTGGTCACCTGAAAATATTCAAATGTTAGCTCAAGAACTTCTTAAACATATCACTTCTACCAAAAATTCTCAAACAGACTAATTTAATTGAAGTTATCAATCTGGATAATGATTATGACATCAAATATACCATATGACTTTTTTTCAAGGTAACGAATCTCAATGAAAAAGTAAATGTTGTTGATACAAAACTGACAGATGTAACTGGAAGAGTGAATGTACATGAACAAGAAATTGAACGTATAGACAAAAAAACATTAAGTCATGTACCAACTTGGGGTCGAAATGTAACAAAATTATTAAATAGTAAAACTGATAATGATTGGCGTTTACTTGGAAAACGTTTAGGTTATTCATCCAGTGAATTAAAACATTGGGCAACTCAATCTGATCCATGCATGGCATTGTTGAATGAATGGTATATTACACATAAAAGTGATGAAGCTACGTATGGTTTAGTTAAAATTCTTAAAGATATTGGACGCACAGATGCTGAAAAGATTATACGAAATGCAACGAAAGAAGCGGGAGAATCGATACCAGATGATATGAACATTGACATTAAAAGATTACCACCTGTATTTATTAGTTATCAATGGACACACCAGAAAGAAGTTTCTCTGTTAAAATCACATTTAGAAATGGCAGGTTATGAATGTTGGATGGATGTGGGACAGATGGGAGGAGGAGATAAATTGTTTAAAAAAATTGATACTGGCATTCGTGGTGCAAAAGTAGTTTTATGTTGTGTTAATAAGCAATATGCACAATCGGATAATTGTTGTCGAGAAGTCAATTTATCTGTGACGATTGATAAACCTATCATTCCGTTACAGATGGAAAAACAAACATGGCCACCCGAGGGTTCATTGGGACCTATAATGTCTGAATATGTATTTATACGATTTTTTAATCGAGATAATAAACAAACCAATAGTGATGTTTATTGGCCTAATGATAAATTCAATGAACTATTAGGACAAATTCGCTATTATGTAGCACCAAATCCAGACATGATTAATGAACGATATAAAAATTGGTTTGTACCAAAAGTCGATAATTTAATATTTTTACAACCAACCAATAGTCAGACGACAAAACCATTACCAAAATCAGAAAAAGAGAAGAATAAAGAGCCGAAAATAGATCTAAACGATGTTCCAATAGTGATTTCACATCCACAAATAATGATCTCCTACCAGTAAGTGATATCTTTAACATTATCCTCTTACTCTTAATCAAAGTGAATATGAGATTTCTCCTTGGTATCTTAAGAAAACAAAACAAACCAGTAATCGATAAACATCTTTTGTTGGTTCCTTCCTCTAACTGTATTCTATTCAAGTCAGATGTGGTCAATGTCCGCACAAGACATATCTTGTGAAAAAAAAAAATACCTTATTTGTTAGGTTCTTAATTAATATGTCTCATATTTCTTGTAGATGGGGTCGGCAGAAAGATATTTTAGACCTATACAAAAAGTTAACCGTAGTTGGCTACCGTTGTTGGTTAGATATTTTTCAGATGGGTGGTGGTGACAGTTTATATGAGAAAATAGATCAAGGTATTCGAAATGCAAAAGTTATTCTCTCTTGTATAACACCCAAATATATCATATCTGCGAATTGTCGACGTGAAATGTCACTGTCCGATGCATTAAAAAAGCCTATTATACCACTGCTACTTGACAGTACTCCGTGGCCTCCTCCTGGACCAATGTCACTAGTTTTTACTGAAAAACGCTACATTAATTTTTGTCCATCGAATGATGACATGATTCATTGGAGTGGTAAAAATTTTGAACAACTGTTAATGAAACTTGAACAAAACATTCCAGAAATAATGATTGAAAAACCAGTAAATCTAATTAATATGAAACGACCAATCTCAGCAAGCGTGAAAAATGTTATCACAACTACTGAACAGCAAAACCAAGATAATACAACGGTCGCAAGAACAAAAAGAATTGGTAGTGCACCTATTATACAAAAAAGTCGTGCTTGTTGCCTAATGTAATTTGTCTTTTTTGGCAAAAATATAGTTTTGTTACGAACAAAAAGTTGGTCATTTAAGAAAAGATCCTTGAGAAATCTCAATCTTCTAAGCAATAATAATATTGCAGTTTTTATATCAATATGCAACTAGAAATGTCAGCATCAGTTTTTATCATTTTTTGCTACATGGAATCTTATGCAACACTTTGAGTGAAGGAATATACGGAATCAGGTAGTTTCTAAATCTGATTTTGCATATTTCTAAAACTAGTAAAGGACTATGACTAAAATGTTCTCCATTGTATTACCATGTGAAATTATCAGACATTCCACAAGACGCTCTGTCTGTTATGGTGACAGAAAGATCTCTTGTGATAATCGTTTATTCCGGATGCATACAGCTTTGACATTCATTGTAAACCAAGTAACACGTAATTGTCAAATACACTTCCACCAAAGGAGTAGTTATTTGTTATTTCTAAATCAATGCATTTGTCTATTAATGTTTACAAATAACGTTGAATCAGAAATAAGTTGAAGACAGTAAAATTAAACAACTGCAACTCGAATCTAAAACACAAAGAGAGATTGTACATAGACTTCAATTTATTTTACTATCTGCCTTTTGATAACCTTTGAACCTCTTTTTAACACAGTTGATACACTAATAATACCATCGTAAATTTGTACACATACAATTGCACTTGTAGCTGTATGCGTCTGAAATACGACTGCTACTGAACCATCACATTGTGAACTAGGTATCATTCCATCAAACTTATCTAAATAATCTTTATAATCATCATCTATCATTACTACGCGGTATGCATTTGTCTTCCGATGAACATTTAAATCGATGTGATAAGTTGAATGGATATATGTCAACATTTATTTCGACGATTGCACTCATACAATCGACATAACCAACAGAAAAATGATCTTTCAATAAACATTTTCTTGAATTTTTAACTAAATTTATGATGAATGTCAACATTTTTGGTCATGTATCTGTAAACTATGATGTGTTTGATTTTGCTTTGAACATATTTTTAACGTCCAACAGAAGTGTACTTCATTTTGTATGAAGATCTCCTAAATGGAGTTCATTATAGCGATGACAAGCAAAACCGTTTAATCAAAATGTTACCATAAATATTCTTATCATAAACAAATGTATTCAGGAGCATAGTTTGACTTCAAATCTGTTTTATTTGATGTATAAACTGAACGAACGTGTTCATAAAGAACGGGATATGATGGAAAAAAATGTGCTCAGGACATCTTTCCGTATAGCTGTTAAATCCAGCGTAACTCAATGGAGTTTGTTCGAATATTTGATATCTTCCATTTGGACAAGATGTCAATAGTAAAAACTACTCACTTGTATCTTTTTTAAAAATGTACAAGTGAGTGGTTTCTACAGAAAGTGTAATTTTTGCACCAAAGTTTCGCACCATTTCTTAAAATAGACAAACATTTTAGGTTCAGGTTTTTTTATTTTAGAGAGAAACGATGTCTTTTACGCTGAAATGTGAAAAGTTCAATAACTTCCTTTCTTTCAACACGTTGAGTAAGAAGATCAAATTTTCATTATTTTCATAATAAGATATAATTTTCTGGTTTGTTGTTGGAGATTCAGATAATTTTTTCATAGTCAGTAAAGGAAGTAGTGTTGTAACTTATACTTTTAAACTTCTCTTGTATTGCTACTTTTTAGTTCTTACCAAAATGCTGAGTGAATTTGGTTAGTTCGAATTGTTCCACCTGCTCCTGGACAGGAAGAAATCTTCATGAATTCCCTCGAACTAGTCCTGACGATCAGAGTTTTCAAGGACTTTTAGAAGATATTTAACTGAAGTTACTTGTGAAGACACTATAAACGAATTTTCTAGATATGTAATAAAAAAGTGGTGTTTCCATCAGCGTCTTCTGTCGTTCTCATTCATGACACTCTTAAAAATGTAAAATCTCACAGTCATCTTCAACTGATTACGTTTGCATCGAATGATAAGGATGATGACGATGCAGATGGGAATGATTGAGAGAAGGTATGTCGTTTGAATATTGATCAAATTTCATTTTTTCTTATTCTGCATTGAAAAAAAACGCATCTATTTTATACACTATTATTTTTTTCGTTCTACTATATAATTCTTTTGCTTTGGTCATAGCTAATAGTCTACGTAGCTAAGGGAAAAGAACATACTATTTTTTCTTCTTCAATTTGTATCAGCTGCTTGATAACTGCTGTAGATAGAAAGAAAAAATATTTTTCGAGCAGTTTTTACTTAACAAGTTTGATGATCTCTATCCAACGCTGTCAAAAAAAATGAAAATATATTTTGCTGACCCTTTGCATTTCCGGTAACGTATATTGTATATAATTTTCCAACAAAAATAATGATTCTTACCAATTTAATCATCAATCAAACGACTACGGTGACACAAAATATACAAAAACAAGTAAAAAAAGCACGCATTTATTGAAATTTCTTATTATGCTGTTAATATACAATTATTTCTTATTATAAAACACGCATCATTCATTCAAAATGTAATAAAAAAGTAAACATAGTCTCCTCTCTCATCTCATCTCTTGCTCTACTGGCTTTCTTGTATGACATAAAATATTATCATCAAATATACAGATGATCATAGTTCAGTTTCATTTAATCAAAATTTACAAATTATTTTGCTGTACATAGAAATTACCTACATTCTACTGACTTATTATGCATTACTTTAATAAAATGAATTTCACGTGTTGGTGGTATAGCTTTCAATATTACAAATAAAGTTAAATTTTTTGCTGTTTAAGCTATATCACCTTGTTTAATTTTAGCTAATGCTCTTTCTTTTACTTTCTCTTGAACTAATTCTACGAAATCAGTAGTCGAAGTACAAGATTGTCCGCTCGTAATTCCATTATAAAATAATAGAGTTATCAGACATATATCAAATAGACGAAGATGAATAAAAGTTATCGAGTCAACTTCTGGGAAAAGACGGTATCAATCGAACGAACTGAATACCAATCTTTGCATTATTTATATATAACAACACAATGAGTCATTGGTTCGCTCGTCTAAAAGGTGTTGATCTAATTTTGACACACAATACTTGTAAATTCTAATACCGACAGATGGCAGAAAATGCTAACAATACAGGTTCAGACCGAATTGATTATAATAAAAATAGTAATTTATGTCGTTCGATGAAAAAAGCTTTTACAAAAAATTTTCAGATAGCACTTTCTTTACAGCAATTGATGCCTCAACATTTTTTGTCACTGTTGGACGCGGTGATGCAGCAGATCGATTTTCAGTTGTTGAATAAATGTAAACAGGTCAGATATTTATAAGTGAACAGTATCATAAGAATAAAATATTGATGCCAAACCTCGACTCCTTAAGGAGTTACCCATGTTTTTCTTTTCAGCAATAAAGTATGAACTTAAGCTGATTTCACAGTTCAATAGAGGTCAACAATATCTTCAAATTAAGCTGATTTCACAGTTCAACAGAGGTCAACAATATCTTCAATTGTCAATTTGAAGATATTGTTGACCTCTATTGAACTGTGAAATCAGCTTAAGTTCATACTTTAATGCTGAAAAGAAAAACATGGGTAACTCCTTAAGGAGTCGCCGGGACTGAAAGGGTTAAAAACGAACGAAAACAAAAATAATTAGACAAATTCCGCTTTAAATAATAGCTTAATAAATTTGTGTCATTTTACGATCTAATTGTATCTTAGCATGATTTAGCTAATTTTCTGTAGAGGCTACTCTTAGAACTTTGTCCAAATAAAATTCATATTAAAAGAAATATTTTCAAATGCTTATATTTCCCCGTGGAACGCTGCTTAAGTGCATTTATGTTTCGAAAACAGTAAAATATGGGTGAAATATTGCAACTGTACCACCGTTGCTGTAGGAAACACTTTTTGCCGTTAAAACAATTATTGAAATAGAAGGTCATCGCTCAGAATTCGTCTCACCAGACAACGCAGAAGATCATTCTGGGAAGAGTTTTACTAAGATAATGAAAAAAGATTTTAATTGTTATCCTATTCTAAAGTCATCGCGAGAAATTTTCTTTGAACATCTCTTTTTTGAATCCATTTGTCATCACAAACGTTTTGCTCATGTTCAGCTCAGAAATTCTCTTGCTTTCTCCATGATATACATTTCGTTTAATCTTAAGATTCGATTTAGATTTTTTGTTGTTAACTAAGGGATGTTAATATCACATCTATACAGTGTAGTCATATTATACTATTGTAAGGTGCCACTAATTTAATCCATAAATGGAGCACTATTTTTTTCAAAAAATTTGGAAAAACTTGAAGGGTGCAAAATTTCAATAAATCACTATTTTTCAATAAATTTGATTTTTTAACTACTGATTTTATTTCGAAGATATGAAATCACATTTTTCCTTTTCGTAGTGCAAAACTGAATAAAAAAACGCTTGTTTGAAATGAAATCAGCACACTTTTTCCAAAAAACTTTTGGCGCCGAGGGACCGATTTCTCATTTTGTAAACCTATCTTGCTTTCCCCGAACGGTATAGCCTCCATTTACACTTCATAGTAACCGCCAAAGTGCGAGATACAAAAGTACCAAGAGATTTTTTCGAAATTTTGTTCCGTTCTCAAGATATCTCAACACTTGGAATAAATGCAACACATTTCCTTATTTTTGTTGTTTCAAATAATATCATACACGACAAAATAAATGAAATATAATCTGATATAGAAATAAAAATTCTTGACAAATAAGAAGAACACAGAGAGAGTAATAGTATGAGAGGAAATTAAATCCGTCTGAATAAAAAGAAAAATTATATGATAAGAATTAGTGAGACAAATTGCTCTTACAGAAGATCTAGTAATAAATAAATCCCCATTTTTTTAATATCAATAAATATAGGTGCGCATAATGAACAACGTCGTGCGAGCGATCAAAACTAGGCATCCATCAATTTTATCCATAAATCTCTACTATCGCCGTAAAATTTCCAAAGTTCTCGTTGATAATAGAGATTTATGGATGCCTAGTTTTGATCCGTGCGAGCGTATTACACTTCACCATTTCGAAGTTTTCGACCTTTACAAAGATGTTTCGTTTAGTCACTAATTCTAATTGGAAGAAAAACAAACTAATAGTTTCCATTCTTTTGTCGTGTAGGCGATTTGGCAGTTTCTCATCGATATAATTGAATGCACTTGACTCAAATTATTTGTTTTTTTATTTATGTTAATATTAAAATTTATGTGTGGTAAAGAATATGGGCTCTTTCAGTTATTACGAGAAGAAACTTTAGTAGTCTTGATTGTAAGAAGCGTTTTTAATGAGAATTTTGTCCAAATGAGAACTTTCCACGTTGCTCTAAAATTCAAGATGGTCAAAGTGGTACTAAAAAACCAAATTTCACGAATGCCTACAGAACAGAATATTTCTCCTTCAACGCTTCTCTGGTTGCTGTTCTATCAGTAAAGTGATAAATTTTTGTTTCGGCAGGGAGACCAGAGTGAAAATAATAATTACAAAGTAGAATACTGTTGGACTTCTGCTTGTTGCACTAATCATTTAAAAACGCTGATTGTAAACATAAACCCTACTCCTGTGTGCGTAGATCTTTGCCTGAATTATGTAATACACATTAAATGCAGTTCAACGGATACAGAGCGTCAATCTTTACTAGGTGCGAAAAGGTAGATTTCTAGAACATTTATGGTAAAAAATCTAGTGTCAGGTGATTTCAATCCAGAACTTACAAACAAGAGAAGGTTGGTGCATGATTGATTATGTATGGTCAAAGTGCCTGAAACAGGATAAAAAAGCATTAAATGTCTCGAAACAACGCGTTCGGAAAAATAAGTTTCATAACAAAGATTCTTTCCGTTTTTGTCACCATGAATTGTATTTTGAAAACGACTCCGCTAACATGCGTTTTTCTATAAAATAAACGCGTTTTAGTACCGTTTCGCCTGAGAAGCGGTGAAACTATTCGTCGACTTTCATAAGAATGGTAGAGATAGAAAAATTTCTAAAGTAATTTTTATCACATGATATTTGAATGCACACTATGAATGTAATTGAAGAAAAAAATGCTCTTATAAGCGGCACTTTATCACCTATCATCGAATCTGGATCCATCAAGTGTATCGATTAAATATCTTCATAATCAACATCATATATCCGATGATCTTCATTATCCAAATCGTCAGTTCTTGAAACAATACATTAGTGTGGGCGTTGCAAATGACAATAACTCATCTTGTTTATCGTCGTCAAACAATGCTGCCCTCGGTACAACAATGTCTCCTCAATTATCATTGTCTAACGAACATTTCGTTCCATTGTGGCCATTAGACGAAGAAGACGATGAGAACAACAACAGTCTTATTCTACCGAATAATAATTATCATTTGAAAAATGATGAATGGTTATCAAGCGACATTAATAATGGTTTCATTCGTTTATATGATCCAACTCTGTGTGGTAATAACAATTCTCAACGATCAAAATTAATTCCGTGTACAATCTGGACAACAGTTGAACAAATCTATTCTCGACTGAGTCGTCAGTTGAATAGTCAAACATGGTATGTCCAGTATAATGGAGGAAGATTAAAACATTTGAACTCGTATGATAAACCATTATTTATTCAATATGAATATTTGTTATCGATTGGCTTCAACAATGTTAAACGAATACAGCAAGAAGGACAAAAACATGATCTGAAATATTTAATAAGATTTTTGACAGGTAAGAGGACTTGACTACTTTTATTTTTTTGTACTGAATCAGAGAATACGTCGTCAATATCTGCTGGACCCTTTTAGTTTTATTGAAAGACTATCTGACAGACTTTATCGTCATTTAATAATTGCTTTGTTTGTTCCACTAAGATCGTGTAATATTTGATGGAAAAGTCCAACAGCAAAATTTGTCAACTTACGTTTGGATCAGAAAAGGAAAATTAATTCGAAAATGGGTTAAACGAAAATGTATTATATCAAGTTGTCGACTCACAATATATCCTGGTAGAAAAAGTATTTTGCTAGATAATACTTTTTTCTCCTAATTCTATTGTATTTATAGACGATGACGCAAATCCATTTGTTGTTGAGTTAACTCGTGCCAATGTTGAAGAAGTTCGTTTAAAAGATAAACTTTTTTGTTTGAAACTATCGATCGATGGTCATGGATCTTTGTTTATGGCATTAAATAATGATGAAGAATATAGTCAATGGTTAAAACGCATGCGAAAAGTATGGTGTTTACTCTCTCTTTCTATGTTATCAAAGAAGGTTACTTAATTGTTTATATTTTAACTGTAGACAACGAACAAACTGCCAGACATAGCGGATTATTCATCCAGTCATTTAGAATTAATACCAAAAGATTTATTTATGAATCAAACATTATCCGTACTAAATCTTCGACATAATAATATAAGAATGAGACCAACAGAAGCAGATCAGTATACTGTAGGCATGTATCTACTATAATAAACTCAAGTATAAGAGTAATTCGAATCGTCTATCATCTTTGTTTAGGCTGGTTGGACGATGTATGTCGTTTTCAAAATCTGGTTAGTTTAAACTTATCTGATAATGAGTTGGAAAAATTTCCGTTAGTTATTTGTGATTTACATCGATTATTTGAACTTAATTTGACTAGTAATCGAATAACAACAATCCCAGCTGAAATTGAAAAGTTGCAATGGTGAGTTATGATGAAGTATCAGAAATTATTCAGTTTTTTTATCTGGTTGTCATTTTTCTTTCGAATTCTAGTTTAGAGCTACTTCATTTACAAAATAATTGTATTTCTATGTTACCGGTTGAAATAGAAAATTTGAAACGTTTAAGAGATATTACATTGGCATTCAATCATTTCAAAGAGATTCCAATATCTTTAACAAAATTAACTGATATTCGTTGTTCGGATGTCACAGCATTGTTTCTAGCTGGAAATCATATCAAAAAGATCAATGTACAAGTAGTCAAACAGTATGAAAATCTCTTTTATTTGCTAAATTAATCGTTAAACGTAGATCTTTCTACTAGAGAGAATACTCCGAATCATTTTTTTAGTATTTCTGATGTCTATTTTTATTTCTCTTTAGTCTTGAATATTGTCGTCACATTGATCTTCGTATGAATTCGTTAAAACTCAATGATAATGAACAATTATTGATAAATAATTTAATTCATTTGACTCATCTCGATTTATCGAATAATCAGATATTTACCCTTGATTTAAGATCATTAATTGCATTAGAACATCTAAGATGTTCAAGAAATCGAATAGAACAGCTAATTCTAGCTGGACATTCATTAAGACGAATTCATGCATCTCACAATAGTAAGTTATAGGATACAAAATGTACAGTAGTTTTTCTTTAAAAACAAAAGAGTTTATTATTTTCTTACGTGTATGACGCCTCTATCCAGAAAACAAAATCATTTGTTCGAATTTCAATCGTATATTACATTTTAATATCCAGTGATTTTAATATATTTTCTTTATATTTCAGAGCTAAAAACCATCCAAATGATTAGTGCTTCAACCAGTCTTGTTTATCTCGATATTAGCTCGTTCGTATTTACGTTTAGATTTATCATCATATTGGCTATTTTTATTCTATTTGTTTAGAAATGATTTTCATAGTTTACCAGAATGGTTAAATGACGAAAATGACTCATTAGAACGTCTTATTGCTAATCATAATCGCCTTACTTTGTTACCGAACAAGTAAATGTTTACCAATAGATTTAATTTCCGAAAGTATACATTGTTTCTTTTAATGTTAGATTTTTTACGTCCAATAAACAGTTACGTTATGTTCGTCTTGATCATAATTATTTACTTTGTTTACCTGATCGAGCAACAAATAGTTGTATTGAAACATTATTATTACATCATAATAGAATCGAACAATTACCACTTAATATGTTGAAACATATGCACAGGTACCATTGATTTTATCTAAATTATCTTAATAACCAAATCTGTTTTTTTTTCATGTTTTGTAGACTTCGTATATTGAATTTGAGCAACAATCAATTGTCCTCGTTACCTGCGGCAAATGATCGATCTGATTTAAACAAGTTACAAGAAATTTATTTAACATGCAACGATCTGAACGATGATATCTATCATACATTATCTTGTTATGAAAGATTAAAAATCCTACATTTAGCTTATAATCATTTAGAACATATTAATGAAAGGTAGTCTATCTGATTTATCTGACTTTGTTTTAATATACAAGGGCACTTTCTATTTCTCTTCAGTGCAATATCGAAATTGATATCATTAACCGAGTTAAATTTATCCGGTAATTCATTGCAAATATTGCCGATGGATGGGTTGAATAAAATGGAAAATTTAGAAATATTATGTGTACATTCAAATCAATTAAAAATAATACCAGATTTTCGTAAATTAAAACTTTTAAAAGTAGGTAGTCAGCTTCTATTTTATTATAAAAGCTTTTTTTTTCGCATGGCATTTATCTACTTATCTCGGGAAAATCTAGTTCCCACTATTTTCACAGATTTCAGCAGTTACTTTTTAGTTTCACAAAACGCCAACATACATTCGTGAGAATATTCATGATCATTCTTTCTCTGGAAAAAAAAATATCACTGATAGGCTTAAAGTTGTAGAGCTTTGAAACATCGAAAAAGTGAATGAGAACGCGCTTGTTATCAAAAAATTTGCTCTAAAATAGCATAAAACGACCGCCTACTTTATTTTTCAAACACCAGTGTATGTAAAGCTTATTATTGACAAACGATGATATTATACAAAAAGTGATGTAAAGACGACTAGCACAACCATTGGTTATACTGCACTAGACGAATCACGAAGTCAAGAAGTCTAGTGATCAGAAGCATTCATAGATCCTTGTCTCGATTCATAAGACATCGTATTCTTTTAGAGCTTACGATTGAACGATATAGAACATCGTACATAAAAGAGTCCATTTCTTTAACTAGGGTAGTGTAAAAATTCATTTTTATTCATATATAAAATAAATGAACAAATAATTGACGAACAAAAAATTTTTTTAGTCTATCTTAATTTTTTTCAGTGTTTAGTATTGTTGTTAATATTATCCAGATTAGCACCGGGTAAAGACACACATACATCGAAAACAGGCGCATGCTAATAATTATTTGTCTATAGCTTTGATTCATGTTTTGTAATATGCTCGTCTTTTTGTTTTTATCTTCTTTTGTTGTTAAATAATCACTCGATGAAAAAAAAACTATGCATGTTGATTAAAACTGATGATGCACTTAAAATGAATATGTTGTTTGTTTATTGCTACACAATGCTTTGCCCATTCCCACAATCAAGTTAGGTGTTTGTTATTGTCGCTTATTTTATATGTGGATGTGTTGCATGTTTATTTTATGCTTGTTGTACAGTGTCCCACCTGCTTCCAATAGATAGTCACTTTTATTTATTTTATATGGATAAAAATAGACGTTCTTATTTTCTTTAGGTAATTGATTTAAGTTTCAATCAAATCAAAATCAATACAATCGAAAATCTGTTTCCACCATCGTTAACTGTTCTCGATCTAGCGTGTAATCAAGAAATAAATATTGAAAAACAAATTCTAGAGAATTTAAGGTGAGTCTGTTTTTTTCTCAAGATAATCCTCCTTCGTGTATATACATTACTATTTTATTTTTTCTAGCAACAAGACTGTATCACTTGTGAATGTCTCAGCATTACCACTCGTGTTGAATAATAATTTTAACTCTTCACTATGGTCTGTTGGATTTGCACAAAGTTCCGGTATAAGAAATAGGTAATAAATAAGCTTTTCATGTTTCTTATTGTAAAACTTCAAAATTTCGACATTCATTTAAGACTTTCAATAACAACCGTAAACGAAACAAATTTTCATTATTCATCTCATGAAGCCTTATTTGCTATGTTTGATGGTGGTCATAATAATGAAGTACCATCAATTTTACAAAATAAATTGCCAGACATCTTACAAAATGAATATGAACAATGTGAACAGTCAAATATTTATTTGAAATATACATTTCTCGCATTACAAAAGTAAGACAGTATTTTGTTATGTTATTTTTAGATTAACAGACAGTTATAACAAATCTCGATTGATTGAAAAAAATTCATTTTCTATTCGTAAATGATGCTCAGCTATGCAAACAAAATATATTGAACTGATTGTTAAATCTAATCTCGTTTCTTCTTCGTCTCTTTTCGTACATATATTTAATATTTTAATTTATCTATTTGTTTGTCTGTTTAGACGCTTGAAAACGACTGGTCAACGTTTAGGTGCTGCAGCCACAGTTATTCATATTCGTCCATTATCTCGTGATTTATCAAATGATAATACAAACATCAACAATAATAACAGTAATCGTAGTCATTATTCCTCGACAACAACTTCTTCGACTGTTTCTTCGTCTTCCATATCAAATGATTGTCGTTTCGAACTAAATGTAGCTAATGTTGGTCATTGTGAAGCGTTTTTATGTCGTTCGGGTGTGGTACATCCATTAACTCGACGTTTTACATTACCAAATGATAAAATTGAATATAAACGGATTCGAAAAACAAATATAATTATTAACGAAGATAATATGATAAATGCAGTTACGTCTCAAACTCGAATGCTTGGTTGTACATTTTTATATCCTGCTATTGTACCTAATCCCGATATATCATCATTTGTACTGGGAAAAACGGATGAATTTTTTATTATTGCGAATAATTTATTATGGCAGGTTAGTTTACACTTAATTGACTCATATTCACAGAAAATATTGTCATAGCTAAAATATGATTAATTAGTGCCTCAAATATTTTATTTTTTGAAATTTTTATTGAGCTAACTATGTTGTCTTCATTTTTTCTAGTACTTATCGCATGATGAAGCCGTACGAGAAATTCGCCAAATTTCAAATCCAATATCAGCATCGAAACGTCTTATAGATTTGGCTCAGAGTTACGGTGCAAAAGAGAATTTAACTGTTTTGATTGTTCGATTTCATTTTGATAAATATCAGCTTCAAAAAACATCATCAGCAAGGTTTTATGATCAGTTACAACAACAGCAACCATTGCAAAGAGAACGCAGAACATATTCAACTAGTTCAAGTAAGAAGAACAAAAAGATTTATGGATAACTTCATCGAGCGTTTTCTATATCTACAGTCAAGCTAAAAATTCAGATTCATTATAGAAAGATTTGGTTGGGGTTTGACTATCTGTAACAAAAGTATTCGTTTCGGTGACAACAGCTGAGTTTTCAGTCTTTACAATGTTACGATTTTTCGTTTTTCTCTAACCAATGGTCTGATACAGAAATTTGTCACATAATCGTGTTCTCGATCATGAGTAACAGCGTAGTATATGATCGAAGAAAGTGTACAGAAGATAGTTATCGGCCTGTGATCAAAAAAGAGATGTTCAAAGAAAATTTCTCGCGATGACTTTAAACTAGGATAACAGTTAAAATCTTTTTTCATTATCTTAGTAAAACTCTTCCCAGAATGATCTTCTGCGTTGTCTGGTGAGACGAATTCTGAGAGATGACCTTCTATTTCAATAATTGTTTTAACGGCAAAAAGTGTTTCCTACAGCAACGGTGGTACAGTTGCAATATTTCACCCATATTTTACTGTTTTCGAAA